CTCGGTGGAGGACATGCATGCTTGGGCCCACTGGTAAACTTCATCTCCGGGGGTCTTCTGGAGTCGACCGATGGCCATCAAAACTTGGTTGATGAAACCTCTAGCCTGACCAGCGTTCTCCGGAGGGGATGGCAACACGAGATCCTTGAGGTCCTTGACGCGAACAACGGATTCCTCATGCGTGGCGTGATCGGTGACGGTCATGCCTACACTAGGATCGGCAGCTTGAGACGGGTCTGCATTGGGGAACTGGCCAGGGCCTCCCCCACCTCCCCCACCACCATTCATGGTGAGGTATGGGCAATCAGTGTCTTCATGGCTGCCGCCGCAAACTCGACATTGTGGGGTATCATCATCTCCATTGGAGTCTGATGATGTGTCGGAGCTTGCTGCCGATGGCGCTTGCGGGGATGACGAGTATAACCCTCCCAACATTGTGATTGGTACTGGTGGAACATGAGTGCCATTGCCAGCTTTCGGCGGAGGCGGCGCCCCAAAAAGGGGAATGGGAGGCACTGGAGGTGGTGCGGCCGGAGGCGGAGGTGGCGGAGCCACTTGATTAGCAACCAATTGGGAAAGCTGCTGAACCATTTCCGCTAAAGCCGTCACTTGCACTCTCACATCGGCTTGATCCCTTGAACCGTCTCTACCCAACCCGCTAGTCCTCGACGCGCCGGGGGCTGCGTCTCCAACAGAGGACGCTGCTCCTAGCACTGCCGAATGGCCTACGAGATGTTGACTTGTTGCACCCCCACCAGGGTCCCTTGAATCAGCTGGGGCATCGTGACCAAGTCCTGTACTTTGAACAGAACCACACGGAGGGTCGGGGATAGTACTTGTAAAAGCATTCCCTTGCGACGATGCGGCAACACCGGAGGTATCTTGTGAACTTGAAACCTGAGGCGCTCCAACCGGCTGATGGGTTCCTGGGGGAACTGTGCCTTGACTTGAGGCTTTAGCCGCGCTTGTTTCCGTAGCTGTTTCGGCTATTGATGCGGCTTTTGGCGGGGACTCTTGCATCGGAACAGGGGTCGCACGAGCTTGTTGGGTGAGCTGCGCAACAACACGTTCGAGATCACCAAGTCGTTGATGCATCACAGAATTTTCCTGGGACAATCCACGAATGGTATGCTCTTGACTGGCAATGGTTTGCTCCCTTTGTAGGATTGCCTGTTGAGCCTCTTGAACAATGCGTTGAACCTCTTGCTGAGCGTCCTGTTGAGTGGCATTAACAACCTGTCGTGCGTTCTCGACATGGCCTAAGGCTTCCTGTCGTGTCTGCTCAATGAGTTGCCTAGCCTGAGCCTCACTTTGTTGTGCTGTTTGAACAGCCTGCTGTGCTTGTGAAGCTAGCTGAGCGGCCTGAACCCTAACGTCTGAAACTTCTCTTACAGCCCTTTCCCTGATCCATCCGGCCTCTTGTCTCGCCTGATCGGCGGCCTGCTGTTGGTGCAAGGCGTGATTGGCTGCCTGGGCAGCGAGGTCGGATGCTCGATGAGCTTGCTGCACCGCAGCTCCAGCTATAAATGCCGCAGCGGGTACGTTAGTCATCGGGTCAGGTAATTGCGATCCCTGTGAAGGAAACTGAATGGCTGGGGAAGCTTCGGATGATGTCGGTTCTGACACGATCGGACCACTCGGGGGTGATGATGGTCGTGTTTGGGCTGCTCTTTGAGGTGTGGATGTGCGAACTGTGGACATAACTGCAGGAACCATGGCTAGGTCAGGGTCATCCGGTTCAGAATCCCTATTTGGGGTTGACCTTGAACGGGGTTCTGATGGCGGTGACAAACCCGTTGAAGCCATGACACAGCAATGCAACTTTTGCACTCACACGAAGCTAGCTCCACGCGCTTTGAGCAGCGTGTCAAAAGGTGCTACGAGGAGATATCCCTGGATTGGCAGCTGATTGCGACACGCTCAAGTGAGCCACTCAAGAAAATACGTTGCGAAACGCTCAAGTGAGCCACTCAAGAAAATGCGCCCTGCTGCTTTGCACCTGATGAATTCTGTATTTGTAATTGTACTTGTAGATTGATTGATCCGCACTGCCGCACTATGGTGCTTTATCGAGGGATGTTGCCAAGCTGTATTGAGAATTTGTCTGCAAATCGAAAGCTTGTAATTGCAAAAGCTGTACCGCGCAAAGCGACGGTTTTAACGGCTTGCAGCAATAGCTACCGAAGTACCCGGCTGGCGGGTAGCTGAGATGCAGATCGGTGGAGTTCCTCGAGGTATTGCGATGGATGCAAGCCTCTCGCCGCCGGAATAAATTGTCTGTTCCGGGATTCAATGAACTCACCGAGGTTCTCAAGTGCGTTGCCAAAACCTCCCGGACCGAAGTGCGGATAATTGCGGAACGCCGCGATGCCTGTCTTTTGAGCTTCACGGACAATCGATGCTGTATCGTCAATAAGGGCGTGTACGCCCAGCCCTTGCAGGGCGTCTGCTTTGCCTCCCCTTCCCAACCGTTCGTGAACGATTTTTATCGCAGAAAAAGTGAGTCCAGATGTTGCCCGCGCGTGCTCCAGGGCGACCTGAAATTCGCGGCGGCGATACTCGCTTGCAGCCCTGCCCACGAAGGATAGCACTATAAAATTTATAGGTGCGTAGTCCGCTGCAAACTGAACGAGATGTCGGATCACTTCCGGGTTGAGGTGGGGTCCCTGCTGCCCAACGTCAAGAACTCCGTGCCAGTCAAGAGCAACAACAAGCTCCTTGGGCGGCACCGGCCTTCCAGGCGGAGGTGGTGGCGGCGGGGGCGCAGGCGGTGCCCTCCTTGGTGGCGAGCGGAATCGCGTGCCAGCTTCGGGAGTTGCAGCGCTAGCAGCAGCTGCTTGAACGACCTGCGGAGGCGGCGGCTTGACGATGTACCCGAATTGTGGCGGGTTTGAGCTCGATTTGCTTCTGGGTTCGGCCTTGTTCAAGCCTCGCGGAGGTGCCTTGTAACCGAATGCACTCTGAGTCCGAACCGGAGATCTGGCCCTTGGCGGCGACTTCCTCGGGATGTCTGCCTTTGCAGGCGCTGGAGAAACTGCCTTGGGGACCTCCTTGGGCACCGGTGGCTTGCTGCCGAAGATGACCTTGGGAGCGGCCTTTGGGGGCGGCGGTTGAACTGCCCCGATTCTTCGGCTGTGAAGCGCGATGGGCTCGGAGTGAGTCGGCGCCTCGTAAACGCGCCGAGGCACGTATGCTGACCTGCCCGTCCTGATGGACTCCAAGTTTTGCGGTGGGTCCTCGTCCGAGCTGTAGGCGTCGAGGCGGAAGGTTTCCGCAGGCGCCGGGCGGCGGTCAGGAGACCGTGAGCGTGAGCTCGTGGAGGACCTCCTTGGCGGGTCCCTCCACGTCTCGTCTCGGCTCGAGCTGAGGAGGTAAGGATCGGCTTGGCGAAGCTGCCCAGACGTCCGTTGCGCTCGCCGACGAGGAGCCGCTTCACGTGGTTGTGATGCCTCCCGCACCAATACCCAGGTACCGTGTTCGTCAAACCTCGTCACAGGGTAAATGCTATTCTGTGGAGCCAAAACGATGGGCCGAGTGGCTAGGGAAGTTCTGGATGGCCTTCCCTCCCGCGCAAGCGCGGGTTCAACACTATGGGCCCGTGGTTCCACAGGGGCAGCAGCAGTTGGTCCTCGTCTCGGTGATGTCGATGGAGACCTCGACCTTCTTGGCGATGGGGACCTCGATCTTTGTGTTGATCGCTCCCTGCTGCTCTCCCGCCGCGTTTCCGCAGCTTTAGCGTATACCCCGCGAAGAGTTGACTTTGCGGCTTGTCTTTCCTCTGCAGATGGCCGAATGCGAGGCAAAGGAGTGCGCGAATCTTGCAACCAGGAGGAAGCTGATGGAGGCGTCGGAGGACGAAGCCAGTCCGCTGCACTGCTTGATGCTCCCGCCGCGCCTGAGGCTGCGGCTTGATCCTGAGATGGCGCACCCTGCGGCAATACCACTCCTGTGGTTTCAACCAATGCGAGACGCTGCTGATAAGCGTTGTCCGCGGCCTGGATCACGTCGAAGGCTTCTTGGTCAAAATTCCACAGGTGCCAACTATCCAGTGACTCACGCCAGGAGAAGAGCGCCTCGACCTGTTGCTTCGAGGCGTCCGCAAACCTGATCCACCGGAATCGTCTGTTCTGCCGCTTGTACTCGTCGACGACGATCTGTTGCAGAGTGTTGTACAATCGGGCACGCGGCCCTTTCCCACCGCGTGTGCCGCGGTGAGGGCCGACTTCCATGTGCGACCAACAGGTCGCAGTCACGGAAGGGTTCGTTTACCCGAAAAGCGTTACGGCTGATAACCTGGGGGAATGGGAGAGACGTTGTCTAGACTGACACGTTCAAAAGGAGCTGCAAAGAAAGCAGGCTCGATTCCTCCCAAACACCTCGACCCTGCAAACAGGAATCAGCAACTAGCCGAATCGGGGGCGGCTGGGTCAGTGGCGGTCGAAGGAGATCGCTCCCCCCGATACGGCTGATAACCACTCAAAGGAGAGGGAAACACAGTTTTGTCAACAACGGGGGAACCCGGGACCTTAAAAGGAACGAACCCCTCCGTGACTGCGACCTCTCCCTTAACCTTGGGGTTAGCGCGATGCCACGCGCTGTTTTCAGCACTTGAGCCAAAGCAGTGATTGGATCATGCTTTGGCAACCACTTGAATGTACAACATGCAACTGACTACATGAGAACCTACCTCATGTACCTCTGGGCCATAAATGTCATCGTGATAATTGACTAAACTCGACCCAACCAGGGCTTCTGAGGGCGCATATTTTGGGCACCCAAGTAGTGTTGTTAACAAAGCACCTTTGTCCTAGGTATGCCAAGGTGCTTCCCCATGGAAGCACAGACAGAGAATGCCCGTCTAAACAAACCTCGCAACCCTTGCCACCCATGCTGTGCATAAAGTAAGAATAGCAAAATGCAAATTCCGCATCATGCACACAAACCCGCTTCCGCGTACCTTTCCCCGGGCGTTTATTCTCTTGGCATTCGCGGCTCCCCGCCTGAGGGCATCACCAAAGGCACCATGTCTTTGTGCTGCAAGTTCGAAAGAAACACGTCATGCTTCGCCCCGTTGTACTCGACTTGGGCATCTCAGTCGTGCTTTTCGTCGCTGTCTGGCCGGCTTGGACACTTTCTTGCAGCCCGGGATGGATATACATTCCCCTTTCCAAAACCGCTGCCCGGAAGTGCGGCTGATTTCTTGCACACGATCTACTATGCTCTATGGGCCGTGCGGTTTGTTTCTTGCACGGCAATCTTTCAGCTGCCCTCTAATTGGTGGTTTGGATTCGTGGTTTGGAGGTCCTGATATAGTTTCCCATTTACCCTCTACAAGAAGGGGTCCAAGTATCAATAAAGAGTTACATAATCCTTTGAACAGGACCTAGTCCCGTGACCTGCAGAAGATTTGCGCGGGCAGGTAAGCACAGAAAACGGCATTTGCACTTCAGCTTGCAAATGCCCGCACTATTTTTAGGCATTTTTCCGCCATTTCCGCAAGGCTCCGGTTGTGCTGCTGCTTGGCAAGCGTAAGACAAGGTCGGCCCGGAAATACCGGCCATAGCGCACCAAAGAACACACCGAACAATCGTCGTACATTGCAGTTGCCGCTGGCTGCCGTTCATAGTGCCACAAAAGAGGGATGTTTTTTTTCGGGTTCGTGCATGGCAAAGGCGACTTTCAGAGACAACGTCCCCTCTCCTCCCTGCTGACTCAGCTCCAATGCGCGAGAAACATGAACTCTGGGCCCAAACGCATGATTGTTTTTGTTCTCTCTCCCTCTCTCGCCCAGATCCTGGACGCAGAAGACAACTGAAAAACCATGTTGCCCCAGAAAACACTTCCGCGGCTTCCCTGAACCAGGATCAATGCGAAAACACCGCTGCAAGACCGTTGTTCACCCGCCCCAAAAGCCTATGCGCACAATGATGTACAATGCCATAGCGGACAAAACTAGTTGTTCGCGTGTTCAAGGATTCGCCTTGTCTGAACGCAACATGCAAGAAGACACATACTCTTGCACCCATGTGCGGGCATTCTGAACAGTGGCCGTCAAGGCTGATTAAGCCGTAGCTGTTCGCAGGGGAGAGACCTGTGCTGGGGGGCTGGCGGGTAGGGGCAGTTTGAGGGGCATTTCCGATCCCACCAAATGATCAACAGCCCCATGCGGAAACTCTGTTAGTTGTTACCCCAAATGGTGATCACGCACTTGAGCTATGCTTGGCCCAAAGAAGGAGACTTTGCATTTTGTGGCATGTGCGCGCTCTCTGGGAGGTGTGTTGGCGCACTGTTCGCTAGAACCAAAGTGGAACTCATGGCGTTCTTCTTGCATTGGACAAGGGGTTTGCCTGCGCCATACCCCTGCATCTCGCCAAAAGGAAACAAAGGGGATATTGGAAGATATTGGCAGTCAGGAACTTGTTTAATAAACAACCCCCTGGTCACTTTATCCTCGATGAATCTGGGATCGCCATGAATCGTATATGTGTTCATGTTAACCTCCAGTTATTTCGGGATAAAGCAAGCATGATGGCACCGAGACTGGCTCGAGCTACATGCCATCCTTCGCCGGGAGGCCTGCTTGTAGGTATGAGCGCAGTGGCCACACGTGGCTTGGTTCAGCCACTAAGCAACCGGCTTGACAACATGATGAGACTTCCGAGGTTTCCCTTCTACATCTGGCACGGACTACTATTCTTCTACCCAGAACTCGTGAAAACGCGACAGAATCTTCATTGATTAGGTTTCTTTACACCAGGCCATGAGCTCCGAAAAACAAAGCGCTGGCAACACGACACCAGGGCCCCTTTGAATGTCATTGTGTTTCACCTGGCTATAGATGATACTAACAACCGCCCTAGCAAAGGAGACTCCTTGCTGCAAGATGCGGCAAGCACAAATCAGTTGTCTGTCAGTAGCCTTGCTTCAGTGGGTTACTATCTAATTATTAAATTAAGCAAAAAGAAGAGCATGCGCCGCCAGAATGCCACAGCACGCTCAGGCAGGATGGGCATTTGCACTTCCGATTGAGTCGAGCCACGACCTGCCCTGATCGTAGGGCGCAGCAAGCCAGAGCCTAGCAGAGAAGTCAGATGTGTGCGCATCCCCAACCCACTCTTGGTTTTAAATGACATGGCTGAGGTTTATTCAGGCCTTGCAACCGCCATGAAACCACACAGAACTTATGGAAACTGCAACCGTTTTCAAGTTTGTAGTGGGATCCACTCGCCCTCGTTTTCGTCTGTGAAAAACGAGTGCGCCCTCGGCAGCCTGGACCTGATGTCACAGCCTGTAACTCGTGAAGCACGGCTGCTGGGTCCAGCCTGAAGACCGCACTGCGGCTGACGAAATGGTATGGGGACAAACCCGATCCGCGGAATGGGAACCCCTTCAAAACCAAAAGGATCATTGCTCCTACTAGAGTGGCAACTGGGATCCACGGCGGAGAAAAAAAAGGAACTGAGCCTTCAATGGTTGACTCGAATCCTTGGTAGCCGGTCAAGCCCGCTGGGTAAGGTGTCAGCAAAGACTGCCTTGACTGGCGTTTTGAATTTAGCCCAAATATTTCACTAGTAAGAACTACCCAGCCCTGCTTGCTGCCCATGCCCCTCGCATCGCAACACATCTTCATACTTTGCTACTTTGCAGGCGAGCTTCTGTAATTGAAGACAACAACCGAGCAGGTATAAGTTCCACTATGGCCAATTGATGGATTGAAAGGGGTCCAGGAACCGCCGACTTCCCCGGTCTCGAACAGCCACTTCCCAAGCTAATTCCATCACAGGAAGATTTGGCCTGGCTGGTGGGGTTGCCTTTGTTGCCGCTCAGCCCAAAGATGGGCCATGCCTAGCAACAGAACACAACCCACCGACCCTACCTGATCCCAGCAAATTTGGTCTTTCGATTCAAGGGCCCATGGATTCCTGATTTGAGCTCTCTCCGCTCAGCCGCACCCTCTGTTCCCTTGGATCAGTGCCGAAGGCCTTCCAAATAGATCACCTTCACCAAAGAGCCCTTGGGAATCTGCGGGTTGTCGCTCGCCGTGAAAGCCACAATGTCTGCCACCTGCCAAGAACGCCATTCAGCTTTTAGCTTGTTCAACGCCCAAACCACCAATCCAAACAATCCGCGCAAATACCCGCCAGAAAGTTCGGGCAAACAGGCACAGCCGCAATGCGTGCAAACCCATGCGCGCAAACCTGGCATGACTCAGGAACGGGTCCCTGCTCCTTGACTTTCAATTGGAGGTCTGTGTTCTCATCTGAGCCTCACTTGCCCAAAGCGAATGTGAACTTCTTGGCCTTTTGACTGTCAAGGAGCTTTGGTCCACGTTCATGGCTTTCAAAGGCCGGCCACCCTTTGAGTTTTTTGGGAGGTGAGATACGCATTCAGTCACGTAACCGCCAATTGGTGTGCCAAGGCTGGGAAAAGCTTAAGACGATGGCGTTGCGGAATGTGCAATTGGGTGTGGAGAGATACTTGCAACAAAAAGGAAAATGCGGTACCTCTCCATTCAAGTCTTTGAGAAAGCAAATTCTTGAGAATCACACGTCGGGAACGGGTTCATCCAACGGGGCAGGCCTGGGCAGGCTGGTGGCCAACTTGTCTCATCACAACTACCGCGAGTTCCATGGAAACTCGCTATCGCTTCTGGCACTTGCTGGTTTGGATGCACTTGTGACAAGCCCGATGCCACCCTGAAAATGTCACAACTAAAAACATTGCAGCGAAAGCGGACGTACGAGCAGGGCATGTTTTTGCTCGGCTTCGGACGGTGGTTTGTTGCAGCCATGCTTCGCGCTGATCATGGTCCGTTTGGATGTCGAGGGCTCTGAGTGATTTTTTGCGCATGAATGCTTGAATGGGAGTTCCATAGCAGAGACTAAGGTGGTAAAGGAAACGCAAAACCAAAAGGTATCAGCCCGTTTCATTGTTCATCTCTTCCCGCGGTTGGCGGAAGTCTCTTTGTTTTTAGAACTATATTTACACTTCCCTTTCTCGTTTTGTTCTCTCTCTTCTCTCTTTCTCTCTGTCTCTTGCTTTTTCTCATTCTTATATGTTTGTCCCCTTTGTTTCTTGTTTTCCTCTTCAACTCTCTCCTTATCTTATCCTTCTCTTTCTCTTTGTCCTCTCTTTCTTTTCTGAATTCCAGCCCGTCAAGAAAATGCTTCGCGTAGATCGCGTCTTTCTATTCGTCTTGTTGCTTCTGTCTCCCTCTCTTTACCTCTTTCTAGCTATCCATCCACCCATCCATCCATCCATCCACTTTCTATCCGTCTGTCAGTTGAATCAAGATTTGAACAGCTCGCTGCTGTAGATGTTGCAAACTCGTTCGGTCCTGATCCAAGTGAATGTTGCACGTGTACCTCACGACAAATAAAGTGAAGTCGCGATTCAAGAAAGTCAAGACAATGGCGGACGCACACCCGTTTCAAGCTAGAGGCCACTTGGGCCAAACGCGAGGCGTTTGGCTTGAGTATTTGGAGAAACGAAACACATGACAATTGGTTTGTGTAATGGTTGCACAAAGGGGAAGCCTCATGAATGAAAGTTTTGCTGTACCATGGGTTCCTGGATGTGAAACGGCGGACAGACAACGTCTACCCTTCACATGACGATTCATCCTAGCACACTGCACTCAAGGAGTCCTTTCTCAGCTAAGCATGCCACATGAAGGTTACTGACCAACATGTCTTGGAAGTGGTGGTGCATCATTGGCATCTCACCCTGTCAAACATGCACAATGCTCAGTATTCTTCAACTCCCCCTTCCTGCGTGCTGGGAGGGAAAGTATTGCATATGCACCAAGTTCAATGCAAGGCAGCTGGCCATTTCGCTGGCGCAAGGGCCTTAGTGAAGATATCAGCTAGTTGTTTATCAGTGGCTATGTACCTCAACTGGACATGATCATCTTGCAAAACCTCGTACATGGAAGGCAACGCTTCACCGAATATGCCAGCGTCCAAAGAGATAATTTCGGCTTCAGTTGTGGATCGTGACGATGTGGTTTGTCTCCGAATGAGTTCGGTCCTTGAAGAACCAAAACCATCCCGCTCGTCGACTTTGAATCCTCAGTCTCTAACGCATGGTCGGCATCAGTGTACAATTAGCGACTTGAAAGTGTCACCTATCCAACTCTTCAACGAGAGATGTGCACATAAGTCTGAACAACCTCTTGTCGTCGGCCAAGCTCCAACACGTCACTTTCCTGGTTAGGTCGTTGATTGGTTTGATCAGGTCCGGCCTTGCCAGTCTGGCACACCACAAAATTTTCATGAGCACCCGACTGGCGTATGTACTTAGAGCACCCTTCTCGGCCCAATCCGCATTCACAATTGCACCGCCTGGCACAAAAGGAGTGGAAGCTTCTTTGAGGACTCTGATTGAAAGCTCCACGTGTAGATCTACCATATCATAAAAGATGGTGGTTTTTCATTCCGAGTACCAATCACGTCCCTCATTTCCTCAAGATTGCTGTGAAAATTGTCCAAGACCTGCAGACGAGTCCAAGCGCTATGAAGGAAACTCAAGCAAATCCAAACAGTCCGCGGATATCGACGCTTCAGATCCCGAATGGCCCTCAAGTTGGCGGCAAGGCCGATCCTGATTTCAAGGTTGAAGTTGTTTCCCTCCCAAGAATCCTCTCCGGCCAAATAAAACCTGCACCGATCAGGCAATACGATGCGGGGTCGAGTCTCCGCGTGCTCGACGTGAAAACCCGATCAGATGAAGCTCCTTCTCCACGCCCAACGACCGGCTGCGCTGGCTACTCGCCTCAAGAAGCGGTGCTTCTGGCAGCTCCGGCAACCTGCTGCGCTGGCCACTCACCTCGTGAGGCGGTGCTTCCACCAGACCTTTGCCAATACAAATTGTCTGGAATGGGGAGGCCCGCCTTCTCGGCCGTGGCTGTGCGATCCAGTACCAGCTAAGAGACGCGTACGCCTGATAACCAGTTGAATCCAGATAAGAACAGCTCGCTGTTGCATATGTTGAAAACTTGTTCGATCCTGATCCAAGTGAATATTGCACGTGTACCTCAAGACAAATAAAGTGAAGTCGCCGAGTCAAGAAAATCAAGACAATGGCGGACGCACACCCTTTTCAAGCTAGAGGCCACTAGAGCCAAACGCGAGGCGTTTGGCTTGAGTATTTGGAGAAACGAAAAACTTGACAATTGGCTTGTGTCATGGTTGCAAAAAGGGGGAACCTCACGACTGAAAGCTTCGCTACACCATGGGTTCCTGAGGATGTGAAACCGTGGACAGAGAACGTCTACCCTACACATGACGATTCCTCCTAGCACACTGCGCTCAAGGAGTCCCTTCTCAGCTAAGCGTGCCACATGAAGGTTACTGACCAAACATGTCTTGGAGGTGGTGGTGCGTCATTGGCATCTCAGTGGTGCATCATTGGCATCTCACCCTGTCAAACATGCATAATGCTCAGTTTTCCCCCAGCACCCATTGTCGGATTGCTAGCTTACCCGGACCTATCTAATCTATCTGTGAGAAAAAGAGCGATGGCGGATTGGGAAGCACGTCTCATTTGGACATTGATGGGGATCCTGATGAAACCCCTGTTCAAAGGTATCAACCTGTTGTGCGTGCATCCTAAGGGGTAGTTGCCCAGCAGCACACCTCTCTGGCAGAATCAATTCCCATTCCAATGACTTCATCTAGCAGTGATCCATCAATGGAGCCAAGAAATTTGCACCTATCCGTGGAGAGGGCAGATCACAGGGTTGAGGCTAACCAGACCATGCAGAGCTCTATAGTCAACAGCAGCAAAATGCCATGTACGATCAACGACAGCAAAATGTGTCATGTGGGCTTGTAATAAACTAGATCGGGTGAGGGCTTTACTGAGATCTACCATCAAGCCCATACTGCCGTTGATACTGCTCACGAAGACAGTGAGTATTCTAGGGGTCAAGCTCAGCAGTGTTGTGGACTGAAGCACATGCCCAAATCCAGGAAAAGGATAGGATGCTAATCATGGCAAAAGCACAGTTTGATCACATGCAACAACATCAAAGATGATCAAGGTCATGATTCAAAATATGCAAGCATTGTGCCCCAGCAAATCACCCATCATGGCACGGACCCAAATTCGCGTCTGCAGGAACCATCAGTGGCCGGCGCATGTGATCCATCCTTGGTGCAGGAGCCCGCAAAGGCCTGTACTAAGGGTGACAAGTCAAAATCCGACCATAAGCGTGACGGTGAGATGTTTGAACCAAAAACGGCCGGATCATCAGGGCTTGGGGGAGGTGATCAAATGCCACAAGCATCAAGCCAAGGCATTGAGGCAGCCCTCAGTTTCATAATCGCTAAGGTCGAAAGCCTGACTGGGGAAATGAATGGTTTGAAGCAACAGAAGGCTCGTAAAGTTCAAGCACAGTCTTCCGGCGACAAACCTAGATCGCGTGATCAGGCCAGTATCCCACGGCCTAACCGTGATAGCAGGTCCCAGAAGCACGGTTCATCTAAGAGCCGTGCTAGCCGAAGTGATGAAAATGAATCTGAGTCTGACGCGAATCCATCCTCGGATTTTCCAGTTCATCGAGTTCGAAAAGCTCAGGTGGGGGAGGAGGTGGTGGGGGTGGAAGATTCGGCAAGTGATTCCGCATCATCTGCCCAGGTAACGTCAAGCATATCCATCGGTAGCCTACCTATATCCTGAGGCTCCACAAGGTTCTTGGCCAGGCAAGTCCCCCTCGCCGTGCGCCATGAGCCGCTGTAGAATTCCCAGCACCTGAAGCAGCTCCTGGTATGTTTCTGGCGGTAGTCCACAAGCTTGCAACATCCGCATAACTGCCCTATCCTCCTGTTGGTGCACAAAGGCAACACCACGAAATATCTTGTTGAATGCAGCCTGTTTCTGCAGGAAAATGTCTCCATTGCGCGCGCTTTCTGTGGTTCCAGAAGAGACGGAATGCATGGCTGGCATGGCCAACTGATGCTCCTTTCTTGGTCTCACACACTCATGGTAGTGTCCAGTCAACTTCTGCCTATGAATGCCTTTCAGAAGGCTCCTGTGCGAACCAAAAACTCTTAGGGTCGCCC